CTGCACCTTCAACAACTAGAAAAAGAAAAGCAAACAAACCCAGAGCCAAAGATGGGAAGAAATCATAAAGATTAAAGCAGAAATTAATTGAATTCAGACAAAGAAAACAATTCAAATAATTAAAAAAGCAAAAAGCTTGTTCTTTGAAAGATTAAATAAAATTGATAAGCCCCTAGCTAGCCTCATAAAAAAGAGGAAAAAAATTCAAATACAAGCAATAAGCAATGAAAAAATGTAATTAAAGCAGACCCGGTTGAAATTCAGAGGATTATCAATACCTACTTTGAGAATCTTTACTCTCACAGAATAGAAGACACAGAAGGAATGGACAGATTCTTAGAAAGGTACAAATTACCACATCTCATTGGACAAGATATAACCACTCTCAATAGCCCAATCACAGTCAATGAAATATGAGATGTAATTAAAAAGCTACCGACAAAAAAGTCCATGTCTACATGGATTCACAGCTGAATTCTACAGACATTTACAGAAGATATAGTCCCTATACTCCTCAAACTCTTCCATGAAATTGAAAAGGAAGCAGTCCTCCCAAAATCATTCCTGGAGACAAGTATTATACTGATACTTAAACAAGGGAAAGATGCAACTAAGAAAGAGAACTACAGGGCAATCTCCCTCATGAACATAAATGCCAAAATCCTCAATAAAATACTAGCAAATATAATAAAGCAAATCATCAAGAAGATTATATACCATGAGCAGGTAGGATTCATCCCAGGGATGCAAGGACTGGTTCAATACTTGCCAATCTATAATTGTAATACACTATATCAGTAGAACAAAAACTGAAATCCATATGATCATCTCCACTGATGCAGAAAAGGCTTTTGACAAAGTCCAACACTCACGTTCAAGTCCTACAGAAAATTGGAATAGATGGCCTCTACTTCAATCGGTTAAAAGCCATTTATGAAAACCCAACAGCTAACATAATTCTAAACAGGAAAAGACTGAAATCTTTTACTCTAAGATCTGTACAAGACAAGGATGCCCTCTATCACCACTCCTATTCAATATAGTTCTGGAATCATTACCTACATCCATTAGTCAAGAGAAAAAAATAAAAACAATGAGAAGAGGTAAAGAAGAAGTTAAGCTATCATTATTTGCAGATGACATGATACTTTACTTGAAATACCCAAAAAAACTCCACCAAGAAGATACTAGAATTAATACAAAAATTCTGTAGCATGGTAGGTTATAAGTCAATACATAAAAGTCAATAGCATTCCTCTACATAGACAACAAACACATTGAGAAGAAAATTGTAGAAACAATACTTTTTACAATAGCACTGAGGAAAATGAAATACCTTGGAATTAATCTAACTAAAGATTTCAAAGATCTTTTGAAGGAAAATTACAGTAGTGTTAAAAAAGTGACCTTAGAGGATTTCAGAAAATGGAAAGATATCCCATGTTCCTCAATAGGAAGAACCAACATTGTGAAGATGGCCATACTCCCAAAATTGCTGTACAGATTTAGTGCAATCCCTTATAGACTACCACGAAATTACCTCACAGAAGTAGAGAAATCATTCCAAAAATTTATTTGGAACCAAGAAAGACCTAGAATATCAAAGGCAATCCTGGGCAATAAAGATAAGGCAGGAGGCATTACAATTCCTGACTTGAAAATATACTGTAAGGATACTGTGATAAAATCAGCAAGGTACTGGCAACAAAATAGACCTGAGTATTAATGGAATAGATTAGAAGAAGCTGAAACACCTAGGAATACACTTAGCCAACTTTTCTTTGATAAAGGGGCGAAACATACTCATTGGAAGAAAGATAGCCTCTTTAACAAATGGTGCTGGAAAAACTGGCTCTCTACCTGCTGAAAACTAAAACTTGACCCAGGTCTATCACCATGCACTAAGCTGTAGTCAAAATGGGTTAAAGATCTAAACATTAAAGCAGAGACACTAAATCTCCTGGAAGAGAAAGTAGGAGGAACTGTTGAACATTGTGGTAGGTAAAGACTTCATGAGCAAAAATGAAATCGCATGGGAAACACTTGAAAGAGTTGACACCTGGATGTCCTCTTACTGAGAAGCATTTCACCTCAAAAGAAATTACTAACAAAGTGAAAAGACAATTCATAAATTTGAAAAAAATCATGACAAATAAGTACTCAGACAAAGGTCTGCTCTCTAGAATTTATAAAAACTAAAGAACACTAGGGTCCCAAAATTTAAAAACCCACTCCAGAAATGGACATCTGAGATGAACATAGACTTTTGAGAGGATGAAATTAAAAAAACGAATAAATATGTGAAAAAATGCTTCACATCCCTAGCCATCCACGAAATGCAAATTGAAACAACACTGAGATATCATCTCACCCCAGAAAGAATGGCTATCATAAAGAAATCACTAAACAACAAATGTTGGAGCAGCTGTGGGGAGAAAGGTACCCTTTTCCACTGCTGGTGGAATTGTAGAGTGGTGCAGCCATTATGGAAATCAGTATGGAGAGTCCTTAGAAAAGTTGGACTGGAAATCCCCTTTAAACCAGCTATTCCTTTACTGGGAATTTTCCGAGCGGATCTCGAAACATCATATCATAGTGATATATGTGTGGCTATATTTATAGCAGCACAATTTGTGACAGCAAAATCTTGGAAACAACCAAAATGCCCATCACCTGAGGAATGGTTGAAAAGATGTGGTATTTTTACACAACAGAGTATTACTCAGCTACAAAGAATGATAAACTTGAAGCCTTTATATTGAAGTGGATGCCACTTGAACATATATTCATAAGTGAAATAAACCAGACACATATGTGTAAATATTGTATAGTTACCCTAAACAAATAGAAACAAGTAGAAAGGTATAATACAAGTAAAAGGAAAGCAAGAACTTGAGGACTAACTAATTAAGAGAGGAAAAGGAGAAGAGCTAGGAAACATGAGAGTGACAAGCTGTACAGTTACATGTAGAAGATGGGCAAGACAATGATACTGAGAATCTCCAGAAGATTTTTGAATCTAGCAGTTAATTGGAAAGATTCTCACCCTGACTAAGTATATATACTGATACCTGTGAACTAAGCAAATGCATGAAAGATGTTAATCTGTAATAATAGTTTCATGCTTGGCATGCGATCATTCTGGTCTTCTGAATAAGGGCTGCTTGTCTTGACATGCCAGTTGCTGCTGTGCTGTCTCTCGAGCTGATGGTTATTCAAAAAAAGGGGGTGGTGAATGAAGGCAAGAGACAGGAAAAAGAATGTTGTGGGACTGTCCTGCTTCAAGGTTGTATATGGATAGTTTTTTGGACTTATGTGTAAACATAAGAATTATATATAATTTGTTAGGCCTATTTTTAAAATATATTCCAATTTTTAAATGTTTTTACATCATATTCTGTAGGGACTTAAAGTTCACCATTTCAAAACTTGATAAAAAAATATCTGTTCCATGTTATGCCTAGGATGTTTGATATTTAGACAGATAGTGAGTTTAAGCTTAACAGCCTAGGTTGTATGGTAATAACAATAAGCTTGTCTTCTGCAGGGTTAACAACCTAATTTTGCAGACCAAAGTTGCAGAAAATGGAGGGCCACAAGGAAAGCCAAAATTTTGACCCTAGTCTTCCAAGGTCAATTATATCTCAGGACATATGAGGACTTGTACTATAATGTCATGTAACTCGGTAGTGTCCCAAATTTTCTGATCAAGGAGAATATGGGGCCCAAGAGGCACGTGATTTATGATGTAGAGTGTTCCTAAGGAGAGTCACATGGAGAGAAAACATTCTCTCAGGCTTTCACAGAAAGCACATTGGCCAAGCAATGGCCGTGACTCATCCACATGGCTGACACTGACAAAGGTTCTACAATCTGAGGTACACGATCTCAGTATAAATCCTGAGGGAATTTCAATGAATTTATCAGATGCAAAAGCTACAGCTCTTGTTGCATAGGTCTTCCTTTACCTTGGTCTTAACCATCCAGCAGAAAAAATATATAACAAAATATAAAAAGTAAAGCCATGTTCTTATGTTTAGCTGTAAGGGACTCAGTTTAACAATTTCTGACATTGCCAGTGAAGCAGAAGATCCAATGTTATGATGGAGTACTGGACTCTTTTAGAATAATTTGCTGAGTTAACACACCTATAATATTCGAATAATGGAACATAGCATAAAAAGGGGATACCGATATATTTTCATTTTGTATCTGTGTATTCTCAGTGGTTAGGATAGATATATAGTTACATTCTCTTAATGAATAGAGGGATTTGTTCTAATGGTGTTTGTAAATAGGATATCATGTCTGCATATTGTACTATAAATAACTACTATGAAGACAACAATATGCAATGTATTAATTATTGTAACTGTCCTACTAACCTGTTTAGAAACTGTTTCATTGCTATTTTTCCCATTAAAATGAATAAAAATAAAAAATAAAATAAAATAAAATTTAAAAAACAGGAAAAAATGAATTTTTTTTCCTTTTGAGAGCAATTGATTTTTCAAGGAAAAAAATGGTATTTTGTTCTACATACGATTTTATTTAATCTATTTTATTAAATCCAGTATGAAATTTGCATTATGAAATAAAGATTGAAATAATTAGGTGCATTCTTTAACTCATTTCTGTCCATCATGAAGTCCCATTCAGCAGACGCTGGTTTCTCTTTTAGCTCCACCCAATTTTGAAGAGTATGCAATTCATCAATCCTGCTGGAGAGCTAGTGAATTTGGATGAGAATAAGAAACTGGATGTAGACTATGACATTGTCAACTTTTGGAATTTTCCTGAAGGCCTTAAAGTCTTGATGAAATTTGGAACATTTACCCGAGATGCTCCACATGGCCTCCAATTGTCTTTATCTGATGATATGATTGAGTGGGCCACAGGAATTACAGAGGTATGTTGGACATAATCATAATGTACTTCATTAGCAACGTATAAAATATTGGGGTGCCACAAATTCTGCTAATGAAACGGAAAGCTAAGGCGATGAAAATCTCAGTGTTAGGGGCCAAAAAGGATAGCTCAGTGGAGTAAAGCACGTGCTTACACAGAGCGCAGTGGCCAGGGTCGGATCCCCAGCATGCTGTGCCAGACACGCATCCAGAGCCCATTGAGACAGTGATTGAGACAGAGTGTGGTGGTGTGAGCCTGTAATCCCGGCACTTACTCGGCTCAAAACAGGAGAATGACTAGGAGTCTTATCAGCATAACGAGACTCTGTAGACCCTGTACTAAAAACAAAACAAAACAAAAAAAAACCCTCAACGTTCAATTTTATAAATTTTCTAATTTCTGATTTCCAAGGAATTGGAAAAGAAAACATATTTTGTAGACATTTATAAATTTTACATTGGTCAATATGGCATTTACACACAAAAATAACATTATTTATGTGTACAAATTGTTTTTCTCTCAAGCTGTAAAAGAGTGGTACGTTTCTCAGAACTCATTAATGACTATTTTTCTACAGACCCCACAGTCTGTATGCAGTGAGAGTTGTCATCCTGGATTTAGAAAGACCTCTCAAGAGGGAAAACCTGCCTGCTGTTTTGATTGTACCGCTTGCCCAGAGAATGAGATCACCAATGACACAGGTAGGATCAGGTGTTTGGGACAAATTCTCCATGTTTATTTTGTATTCACCCCATTCATCCAGGAATTTAAAAAATATCTTGCAGAGGTGAATGATGACCTGTTAGGTAGAAATTGATTTCTGCAAGTCAGTACTTTTATCCCTTCAGAGCCACATTCTTGTCCTTTGCACTACACCTACTCATAGATTCACTGTTTCTCTTCTTTTGTGTTTTCTTTTCTCTTTGACATTGGTGAGGATGGAACTAAAAGGTATCTTTACCCATGCTGCAATGGAAATTCAAATGCATCTGTACTGGAGTATATGACTTATTAAATTTTATGAATGGAAACAAAAAAGAACTATTAGTGAGAATTACATATTTCATGTATTCTATATACTTGTGCTACTATGCATATTTGATTGTTGAAATGCTGTAGTTCTGCATTTGAAATATTTTTATGAAATAGAAAAGGAAGACCAAGTCAAACCAAGGAAATGCAGGATGGGAACACCTTAACAAAACCGCATAAATATTAAAACATGAACAAAAAATTGCAAAAAATGAATTCATTTGATGCAGATGAGAAAAAGTAATCTCAAAACACAGTAATACCATAACTGAAAATTGTTCCAGTTCAACAGGTATATAGAAAATTTTGCTTATGGAAATAGTTTCCTCTTGCAATCATGTTATTTGAATGTTTTCAAGAAACTCAGTCTCTACGAAATGTTATCCAAGGAATTCTAAGAAAAAATAATACATGGAGAGGTTAGACACAGCTGAATACAGCAGGCGCTACATTCCAACAACTTAGAGAATGTCATCTAAAATCCAAGGTAATTGGAAGACCAGGAGGAACATCTGGATGTCAAAAAATCAAACTGAAATTAGAGACTTGTAGGTCCAACAAAAGATTGGTATAAGACTCTAAGTACAGAAGAAATGGACAGATTCTTAGGTACATATAAATTACCACAGCTGAATCAAGAAGATATAAAAATTCTGAATAACCCATTATCAGTTAATGAAATTGAAAATCGAATTACAAACTCACCAATAAATAAAGTCCAGGTCCTGTTGAATTTACAGCTGATGTCTACAAAAAACTTGTACAAGATCTAATGCCACTATCCTTCAAACTTCTTAATAAGCTTGAAAGGGAAGCAAGACTTCCTAATTCATTCCTGGAAGAAATTATTATCCTCATATCAAAACCTGAGAAAGATCAAACCCAGAAAGAAAGATTATCACAGGATAATCTCCCTAATGAAGATAGACATGAAAATTCTCAATAAAGTACTCACAAGCAGTGCAGCACATCATGAAGAAACACATACTTTATAACCAAGTAAGATTCATCTCAGTGATACGAGGATAGTTCAATATGTGCAAATCAGTGTACATACCACACCATAGCAACAGAGCCAAGGATAAAACTCACATCCTCATCTCAACAGATGGAGAAAAAGCAATTGACATATTCCAACACCCATTTATGATTAAAGAAAGAAACCCTTACAGAAAATTGGAAGAGGTGGACATTATCTCGATCTGAATAAAAACCATCTATGACAAACTAACAGCCATCATCTGAAATTTTCAAATACTGACAGTTTTCTCTCAGGTGCAAGACATCAATATCCATTATGAGGACTTATATTCAACATAGATCTGGAAAATTTATCCAGAGCAATTAAACAAGGGAAATAAATAAAAGGAATAAAGGTAGGATAGAAAGTTGTATTGTAACTGTTTACAGATGACATAATGTTTGAGATCCCAAAATTCCATTGAAAGATTTCTAGATGTAATAAGCAAATTATGTCATGTAGCTTAATACAAAATCAACACTCAAAACTCCGTAGCATTTCTATAGGCATGTGACAAACTCAATAATTTTAGGTAAACCATGCTTTTCCAGATGGCTTCAAAATAATGAAAACTTAGGAATAAATCAAACAAAGAAGTTAAAAAAATATTTATGTTGAAAAAATACAGTACTCTGAAAAATGCAACCAAAGAGAATATCTCAGAAGGGAAGAATATTCAAGAATGGAAGAAATTATGTTACATGTTCCTGCCATTACAACACACTTAGAAAAACATATAAAAGTAATCATATACTAAGAAAGAGGTGTATGTGTGAAATAATTTTCCTGTGGGGTTATTGTGTTAGTATAAAACTCATGTAAATTAATAATTGAATGTTGTGCTGATAGAACTTAAATTAAGGTAAAAGTAATCTATTTCTATAGCTCAGTTACTAAGCATTCATTAGTGATATATACAAATAAATATTTAATTCTAAAATTATTAAATATATATAAGTAAAACTAATAGAGCCAGGGAGATAACTCAGCAGCATAAGTGTGTGCCTGGCAAGCATAAGGTTCAAAGTTCAATCCCTGGTACCACAAGAAGAGAAATAAAATTAATTAGGATTCTGAATGATAACAGGTTTCAATACAGAAAAACTTTCTAACAATAAAAGTAAGACATTGTTTGAAGAAAACATGTTCATGGATGAAAATGATCAAAAATGGGAAGACATTATTGTTTCCCAGTTGGTTCCACAGTTTCAATCTAATTGTTATACAAATTTGAATACTTTATCATGAAAGCCACAACGTTTGGGGTAGGAGAAAATATCCTAATGTACAGTTCATAATATATATCTCATTCCTGGAGCTTACTAAATTATTTGGGTTTACGAAGTGGTTGTTCATTAAATGAATCTAATAAACATGACTTGCAGAGGTTAGCTATAGATAGGCATATATTTTACTGCTCTGAGAAAGTATAGATCTACAAAAAAAGGTAAGTATTCATTAGGAAATATTGTAAAAACAATATTACTTTGCTTGGTGTCTAGAAAAATCAAATGAAAAGCTGAGGATGCTAATGCAGACCTGGAATCCCAGTGAGGTAGCAGGCTGGAGCAAAAAGTAACAAATTTAAGTGTGCCTCAATGTTTTTAATTGACAAGACTGGGTCTCAATTTTTTAAAAAAACAGAATGAACAGGGATGTATCTCAATACAAAGTTCCTGAATTCAGTAATCAGGCCTAAAACCTGGAGTAAAAAAACATTTATCTGAAAAACAATGGAGAAACAAAAAAATGACAATTTGTCTCAAGAAGTTCTACAAACTTCGGTGAATGGGTGAGTGAATGGATGAAAATTAATGAAATTGACATAATGACAACTTGAATTTCTCAATAGATATGGAACAATGTGTAAAGTGTCCTGATGACCAGTATGCAACAGTACAGCAAAACCACTGCCTCCAAAGGTCTATGACTTTTCTGGCTTATGAAGACACCTTGGGGAAGACTCTGGCTGGCACTGCACTGAGTCTCGCTGTTGTCACAGTTATAGTTCTTGGTCTCTTTGTGAAACACAGAGACACTCCCATTGTCAAAGCCAACAACCGGGCCCTGAGTTATACCCTGCTCATCTCCCTCACCTGCTGTTTCCTCTGCTCCTTACTCTTCATTGGTCTTCCCAACACAGCCACCTGCACCCTGCAGCAGACCACATTTGGAATTGTGTTCACTGTGGCTGTTTCCACTGTCTTGGCCAAAACCATTACTGTGGTGCTAGCCTTTAAGGTCACAGCTCCAGGCAGGAGGATGAGGCACTTGCTGGTGTCAGGAGCACCAAACTCCATCATCCCCATCTGCACCCTGATCCAGCTCACTCTTTGTGGAGTCTGGATGGGGACAAATCCACCCTACATTGACACAGATGTGCACTCTGAGCATGGCCACATCATCATCGTGTGCAACAAGGGCTCCCTCACTGCCTTCTACTGTGTCCTGGGATACCTGGGCTCCCTGGCTCTGGTGAGCTTCACTGTGGCTTTCCTGTCCAGGAACCTGCCTGACACATTCAATGAAGCCAAGTTCCTGACGTTCAGCATGCTCGTGTTCTGCAGCGTGTGGGTCACCTTCCTGCCTGTGTACCACAGCAGCAAGGGGAAGGCTATGGTGGCCATGGAGGTCTTCTCCATCTTGGCCTCCAGTGCAGGGCTGCTGGGCTGCATCTTTGCTCCCAAGTGCTACATTATTTTTTTCAGACCAGAGAGAAATTTTCTGCATGGGTTCAGAGATAAAACACATTCTGGCAAAACCAGAAGACATTATTAACTAATAAAATATGTTATTCCTAAAATAAAAGGTATCACTAGACCAATGCTTCAAGATTTTCAGGATTAGTTGTACATTTAAACAAGAGGTTTATTCAATCATCCACTGACTTTCTTTTTCTCTAATAGTCTTAACGTTTCCAACATCTGTAACAATTACATTTTCTCTTTGAAGTGTATTCTGGAAATTTCTTCTAATTATTGTGCAATGTTATTATTTTTTCCCCTAAATTTTACTGTACAACTTGCTTTCTTCTTGTGTTCCACTTGTTCTTTTCAATCATCTTTATTCATTATTTATTTTATTTTTTTCCCATAATTTTATTGATAAACAAATAGCAATGAGACAGTTTCAAATCAAATTGGTATGTTAGTTTCAATAATAACACATTGCATACATTCTTCCTAGTGGTTAATTGCTGTACAAGATGCGGACATGATATCTTATTTACAAACACCATTAGAACAAATCACTCTATTCATTAAGAGAATGTAACTATATATCTATCCTAACCACTTTGAATACACAGATACAAATTTATTCATTATTTATACAGTAAACTATTTATTTGTTGGTCATTATATTTCAGAATTCCCTAATGCATTTCATTATGTTTTAGTTTGCCTTTTTTTTTTTTTAAGAATTAGTGTCCCTTCTTGGCCAGCTAAGCCTGATAGCCTATCGGATTAATGTGCCTGCTTAGGCAGACTCAGGGACTGGGTTTCAATTGCCCACATGATGTTCAATCCCCGGGGCACACTGAAATGGCAATTGAGCCTGGGTGTGCTGGTGCATTCCTGTAATCCCTGTTCTTGGGAGGCTGAAAAAGAGCAGTATCACTATGAGTTTGATCTGTGTAGTGAAACCCTGTAGACCCTGTACTAAATATACAAAAGAGTATTATGAAAGAAAAAGAAAGAGAAAGATGATTCTGCAAAGTAATATGTTCAAAGTAATTTGAAGACAACATTATTCAATACAGAAACCATTGTTGAATCCCTATCATTTTGTTTCGTGAAGTTCTGTATCATTTTTAATGGTTTTTTTACTGTTTTGTATTCCCTATAGATAATAAAAAAGATGTTCATGTTTTTACAAGAGTAATGTTTAAACCTTAATGTAGGGGACCTTTCCGGTTCAAACCCAGGCATGCCGCGTGAGTGAGACCTTCTTCTGCACCCTCAGGACCCCTCCACTACTCAGGAGGCCTCCCCAAGACAGTTGAGAGAGTGAGAACTTCTGCGTGCTCTTGGGACCCCTAGATCCAGCCAAAGCCCAGGCCTGGCGAGTGTGTGAGAGAGCTTCTCCTCTCCATTGCATCCCCTTGTCCCTTTCAGACCCATCCCAGATCTGGCATACAGGCCTGGGGTGGAATTTAGCAGCTGCAGTCCCTCCAGAGAGAGTAGGGGACAGACCCACCCAGCTAATCCATGAGCAGAACATCTTGATGGAGGGGCACAACAGGTTCACTCCCAAGGGTTGCAGCAGGAAGAAGCTGAGCACAGCAGCCAGACCCAAGCGAGGCACAACTGGAAAAATTCAAACTTTGTAGAACTACACCTGAATATCAATAGGTGCTATGGTTATAACTGCAGAGTCTTAACAGTATAAAAGATAGTAACAATACAATGGTCAGCTACTTTAGGAACTTCAACATAAAAAACTAAATAAACAAAAAAGGGGATACAAATGAATGATCATTTTATATCTGTATGTTCAAAATAGGATAGATATACAGCTACATTCTCTCAATTCAGGGAATAGAAAGATTTGTTCTAATAGTGTTTGTAAGCAGGATATCATGTCTGGATCTTGTACAATGAATAACCACTAAGACAACAATATGCAATGTATTAATTATTGAAACTGTCATTCTAATTTAATTTGAAACTGTCTCATTGCTATTTGTATCCCAATAAAATTATTAAAAAAATAAACCTTAATGTAAGGTTCTTCTTAGGCATTTGCTGACTCACTTAAAAAAGTTACCTCCATTTCTCCAATTTTTAATAACAGACTAAAATTCATGATTATTATTTTTTATATTTTTATTAATTTTATTGAGATACAAATAGCAATGAGACAGCTTCAAAACCGATTGATAGGAGAGTTACAATAATTAATACAGTGCATATTTTTGTCTTCGTAGTGGTTATTCATAGTACAAGATGCAGACATGATATCCTGTCCAAACACTATTAGTGCAAAACTTTCTTCTCATTGAATTAAGAGAAAGTAGCTGTTTATATATCCTAACTATTTTATACATGCAGATATGAAATAGTCATTCATTTGTATTACCTTTTTTGGTTCAGTTTTGTCAGAGATGGTTATTCCATTGTCATTTAAATATTGTAAGTGCATGAATTCAGCAAAACAACTCAGTATACTTCAGTAGTTCATAATAGTAGTGGTTTATCCGTAGGACTGGCAATGTAAGAAGTTTTGACTTGAGCCCTTTATAGTTCAGCATATTAATATGACTTTATTTTTCATTAAAAGTTATTATGATTTTCTTCTGGATGGTTAACACCAAGATAAATCAAGACCTATATAAGAAGTGTAACTTTGTATCTGAGTAGATCAGTCAAATCCCCTCAGGATTTATCCTTTCCCCCCATAATTTTATTGAGAAACAAATAGCAATGAGACAATTTCAAATCAAATTGGAATGACAGTTTCAATAATTAACACATTGCATACTCTCTTCCTAGTGGTTATTTGTTGTACAAGATGCAGACATGATATCCTATTTGCAAACACTATTAGAACAAATCCTTCTGTTCATTAAGAGAATGTAACTGTATATCTATCCTAACCATTTTGAATACACAGACACAAAATGGACATTCATCTCTATCCACCCCTTTTTTTGTTTAGTTCTGTTATTTGAATATTATAAGTGTGTTAACTCAGCAAAATATTCTAAAAAAGTTCAATAGTCCATAATGGTATTGGGTCTTCCTCTTGACTGTCAGCATCAGAAATTGTTGACCTGAGTCCCCTATAGCTCAAAATAACACCATGGCTTTACTTCTTATACTTTGTTTTTATACTGTTCTGTTGGATGGTTAGGACCAAGATAAAGCAAGACCTATGCAACAAGAGTTGTGGCTTTTGGATCCGATAAGGTCAGTCAAATTTCCTCAGGATTTTTCCTGAGATCCTGTACCTCAGATTGTAGAACCTTTGTCAGTGTCAGCCATGTGGATGAGTCATGGCCATTGCTTGGCCAAAGTGCTCTCTGTGAAAGCTTGAGAGAATGTTTTCTCTCCATGGGACTGTCCTTAGGCACACTCTACATCATCGATCACTTTCCTCTTTGGCCCCATAATCTCCTTGATAAGAACATTTGGGACACTACCGTTTACATGATGTAAAAGTACAAATTCTCATATGTCCTGAGTCTTAATTGACCTTGGAAGGCTAGGGCCAAAATGCTGGCTTTCCTTGTGGCCCTCCTTTTTCTCTAATTTGGTCTGCAAACTTAGGTTGTTAATCATCCAGAAGACAAGCTTATTGTTATTATCATACAACTTAGGTTGTTAAGCTTAACCTCTCTATCAGTCTGAATATCAAACATCTTAGGC